GGATGCAACTGGATGGCCCCATTGCCGAGTGGAGCGACTAGTACGAGCACTCGACTGTACTGGGAGCCTCCAGCCCCGGCGCGGCTAAGTGATGGAGTGCAGCGACCACGCCCAAGGCGGGTTACGATCGTCGATGACGACCGACTTCGTCCCCCTCCGATTGAGCGTGGCCGCGCGTTGCCCCCTTATTCCAGAATTCCGACACTCGCAACTTACGGCAATGAGCAACATACGATAGCACAGCCAATTTATGCTTATATAGAACACAAGGAAATGCAGGAGGCTGGCAAAGAAGCCGAGATCAAACCACGCGAGATACCCAAAAAGGCCGAAGACGGCAATGACGACTGCTGCGATGACCTCAAGGGCCTTGGATGTGGAGCGTACTACGCCGATGCCCCTCTGGACTCCGACAGCGATGGAGACGAGGAAATCCTCATTGCCCTACCAGCGGGGCTACCTGCGGATGCACGCGCCGATGTGTTTTCCATAATACCAACATTATGATATGGAGGAAACAACGAGGTAGACATGCTGGAACTATGCGGAGGTAACGGGGGGATACCACAACTAGCATTTAGCCGAGGTCTATCCTAAGGGGACAACCTCGACAGACGTTTTTACGTTGACTTCGGCAACAAGGGAGTCTAGGATGCAGTGATGCACTAAATGGGCGTACATTTTGTGAAACTAGTAATACTACAACCCAACTGCAGGACTACTGGACTACCCTCCTACTTCAACGCAAGGGTCAACTACGACGCGTGGTGCGAGCATCACGAAAACCTCCCATACATCATGTTATGTGGCAAGGTTGCTGCGCGTCAGGGCGATCTCCGACGATTCTACCTACGAGAACAACCAGTCGGCTTTTCGGTGGATGAAATACCGCAATGGGCGAAACTTGCTAGACGCGAGGGCATTTGCAATGTCAATATGGACAATGCGCTACAGGACCTCGCGACTCCCATGGCGCACTGATACGTGCACCTGCAGAGAGAGTAGGCAACTGCCGTTCACTACTGACACCACTTGACAGCAAAAGGTGCCCCGGCCAGCATCCACATGCTTCAGTTTCAATAGGGAATTGGCCAAGGCAGCGCAATCTACTCCGAAGAGGTAACCTTTCTTTTTTGAGGCAGTTCGTATTGCGCATGACATATTAGCGGTGCACCGCGATCCCTTTCATAATCGCCCACATGCTTCATCTGTCCTCGTTGCCGACGCGTGCGGGTTTGACTTGGGCGACCCGACGATCAACGGGCATTCTGACGGACGTATCGTGCAACCACCATCGGGAGGTGGGGGCGTCCTGCGCGCGCCGACAATGTCAACGTGCGCTGTCCATCATAATAGAGGCCCCAAACAATCGGAATTTAAGCCTGGCCACTCACCGATCCCTGGTAAATGCCAAAATGGCAGCTGCCAGACAACCGCGGGCAGGGGCCGCCAGCCCCTGCTGAACCGGCAGCGCCACCCTGCGGCGGCAGCCGCTTCTGAGGCACCAGCCGCCGAACAAGTTGCGCGGCCACGCGCCCCGAAGCCTGGCTTCAGAGCTGGCCTGGCTGCGGGCGCCGGCTGCCGCGACGTCGCAGTAGGCGCGCATGCTGCAGAGCCAAGTGGCGCCGGCAACTCGGGTGACCGCAGTCGATTACCACGGGTGGCAGCCAGACGTGGGCGACGGCAGTGAGGTGATCCACCTCCACCGCCCTCGGCGGATAACCCTGCAGCTCGGCCGGGACTGCCAGACTGGTCGCGACTTGATGTGCAGATCAGTCTCCAGAACCTTTGACCCGAGCGCGGTAACGCGCGAGCTACGGAAGCTACGGTTTCGCGCGAAGGAGCCTAAGATGAGACTCGTCTGATCCAAGGCAGGTCTGGACAATTCGCGGCTGGGCCGGATAGAAGGCGCCTGCGACGCATGCCGAGAGTGTAGAACCTGGGGCAAGCCTGGGCAGACAGTAATGTCATCTACCTCGCTACCTGGCGAATTCAGCGAGGAAGTCGACTGCGACTTGGTGTTCTACGCGCGGGGGCATGAGGTATTCCATGGTTTTTTCGTTGCTGTGCGTTGGTGCGCTGTGACAACGACGTGAACCTAGGGTATCGCAACTGCGAAGCTGAAGGCGCACTGCCCTAGACATCCAAGATATTACTGGATCAGCTCACTCGAGAGAATCATCCACTGCCTGAAGTCCACAACCACAAGCGGGCTTCGATCAGGACATGACAGAGTTCGAAGAACTGGCAGACCTGCCGATGCAAGGCAGCAGTGCCAGAGGGGCCCCAGAAGCCGAATAAACCACAAGATGATGGCCGGCTTCCCACGATGTATGAGGAATCGGAGGCGGACTTTGAGGCGCGTGCTATGGAAGCGTGGTATACGGTATTTCAAGACGAAGGGGAACTACTGGAAGCAACCCCAGTAGAGGAACTATATACCGTATCCACACATGATTCCTGACAACAGCGTGCTGGTAACAGGTGCTGACGAACAGCAAGGGCATGTGCCTACGCGGGGTAACCCACAAAGCACCAACGCAGCCGAGACATGCCATGTCCCGCTGTGCTCCACGGATGACGATGACAGTAGTGGTCTAGACTTTGGCGAGCACGGGCGCTATGTGGAGTTCTGCTTTACGGCGGAGATGTCGAAGGTAGTTCTATCCGAACAACGACGTAGGATATGGGCGTCGACCGTGTTGCCGCGATGCGAGTCTATGTGGTCGCTGCAACTAAAAGAGCTGCGGCCGTTAAGGGGGGCGAACTTTCTCACGAGGGCAGACGTCCAGGCGAGTCCAGTCATGGTATCAAAGGCCCTACAAACTGAACTCAAGACATGGTCTGGCAACGAGTGTTTCAAGAGTCGATGCATTTCCACGCCGTCGAGCATCATGACTTCGAGATGCGCGTGCAAATGGGGATGCGCCAAGCACGAAAAGGGCGAAATTGAACGTGCCATCGGGTCGCGCCCGGTACTTCGATGCGTCGTGGGTCTCGAAGCCTTTGACGTGGAAGCGTTCTCAGGAACGGCGCGGCGGTCAAGCCGGCGACTGCGCGCGCTTGCGCGGCAGTGTGCAGGAGGCTGTGGATCATTGCTTCCCCTGACATCAACGTGGCTTTGCAGGAAGGGCTCGCGTATCGCGAGCTCGCTGAAGCAGCCGGCGAAAGGGGGCGCATGGCCTGCTTTGCGCTGCCGCCCGGGTCAGCATCTGCGCTCAGTTCGCTCCCGGGGCACGAGCGCGACGACGAGTCAAAACAGTGTCTGCAGTGTCTCAAACCAGGCACAGGCAGCAAAGATGCGCCGAGAACTCTCTCATTGAAACATAGGAAGACCACGAGAAGCTCTGGGCTCGCACCCACGTCTGACGACGAAGAGTTTGAGGCGAGCGCCAACTTGCTTACCGCCGAACATGCTGATGATATGAACATGGTCGGTACCGAGGACACAAGTGACAAATGCGTCAAGCGCGTTGAATATACATCTGGGGAATGTGCACTCAACGAACACATATGCACCAAGTGCGCTATGAGGTACGCTACGGATAGCGACGGCAATGTTACTCTTGATCATGGCGAATACGCAAAACAACTCCGTCTTATCCAACATCGCGAACTCATGGGAGCAGGCGCTGAGGCTAAGGCGTCAGATGGTTGCTGGAATGTTCGTCAGCCTCAGAGGCGCTTTGGCTTACGCCTTAGTTGCGAAAGTCTGGCTAATGGTGTACGTTGCGTTTCTACAGCGTGTCCAAGAACCGACTATCATGCAAGTGCGACGAATTACAGCGATTATCAGGAATTTGCAGGCCTGGCCAAAGAACAGCGTTTCTACAGCGATGACACCAACAGGTGAGGTTGGCCTGCGCAGCGACTCCGGCTATCGCGCTCGAACGGCGATGCCGATGATGAGGTCGGAGGCTATGATATTCGCGGGGCAGACCTGCTACGGCGTGGGCGCGCGCCTGCTGGTAAGCCTGTCGCCCATCTTGTCGACGCGTGCTGCAAGTCTCACCGCTGGCAGGTCCGCTCGAGCTGCGCGGCTGATGCGCTCGCAGCAGCCCGCAATTTGGAGGGCTGCTATCCCGCGATCGTCACGCTACACGAACTACATGCAGGGCCACTGGCACCCACTCAGTTGAAGAAAATTATTGAGGTGTGCGGCCTCAGCATCAAGTTCGCCCCGACCATTGATGCCGAATCTGTCTTCAAGTCCTTGTCAAGCACAGACTTAAATGAGCCGACGGAATGTACCCTCCTGTGTCGCATCAGTTGGATGCGACGGATGATGGAACGCGGTGTCGTGCATAGCTTGCAGTGGTGTGACACCCGCGACGTGACCGCATATGGTCACACCAAGGGGGGCATTGATCGACATATGCTCCTACAGGTCATGGGCGGGATGCAATCCTTCAAGCATGACTTGAAACGACATGCTCCATGCAGGGCTGGCCAGACGAGAACATCTGAGCCGCCGCGGTCTAGAATCGCTTGCTGCTGCGTTTTCTTGTACTGTAGCTGCTTCACTAAACTAGGCCGGACGCGGACTCGCGCTTCGTCTCCTCCCCCCCCAACTGTGAAGGATGGGCAAAGGCGCAAAGTGGCGAGCGTTTGTCCGCGGCCATTTTGGCCCAAGTCGGCCGCCCATATGACCGTGTCGCGCCACGACACCCTACCAAACATCGATACGGAACAAGTTTCACCCTTTACTCTTGAGATGCTACCCTCCTGCCGCTTACGCGGTCATCTCTTCTCTCTTGCCCCATCGCTACCGCGATGCGACAAACCGAGTAAGTGGCTGCGTCTACGGCGCAGTATCAGGCCTACCATCCCGCTGTAAACTTCATCATGCGATGTCTGTCAATTATTCGTGTCTCCCTGGGCTCCCTCATCGTCTCGCTCCCCCAGAGGAAGAGCTGCGTGCGCTTCGCAGGCGGCGCAACTCGCGGGCTGCCGGCGGCCTGGCGCAGCTTTACGAGGCGGCCGCGGCGGTGGAGCAAGCCATGCGCGCGTCCTACGAGGGCGAGGGTGAGGCCGCTGGCCCCCACCGCCTAGACCCGAAGGGGGGGGGGAGGAAATGCGCAGAAGGAAGCGGTACCGATGCCGCTACCCTTTTTTTTTTTTTTTTTTTTTTTTTTGTTTTTCCATTCTTTGGGCCTCCTGGGGGCCCTCGTCGCCACGGGTGGATTCGGTTCGAAATTCTGGTCAGTACGCACCCTGGGAGAGGTCTGGGGGAGCACCGGTATCGGTACCTTTCGGTTCTTCAGAAGTCGAGGATCGAGGCTAGAGTTTTGGAACAGAGGAACATGCGATGTTCCCGTCCGCCGCCCGCCGCTCCCAAACTGCGCTCTCAGAACTCGTCCTAGGAGGCCTTCACGGCGGAGGTCTTGCCTCCCTCCTCCTCCGCTTTACAGTGCTTGTACTTGGGGGTTCTTTGTCGTGTGCCCAGGGGATCGATCGGTTGGGTCTGGCGAGGATCTTGCACGTTGCCGCCTGTGGCCGCCTCTTTGCCGCCTCGCGCGCTGGGCGGGTCCTGCGAGGTTTCGCCACGTTGCCGCCTCGTTGCCGCCTTGTTGCCGTTTCGTGCGTGTAGTGGATCGAGGACGGAGGATCGATTACCAGCTTGAAACATATCCTTATCCGCACCCCCCATCCTAATGATTGGCATCGCCCTACTAAGTGGTTTTCGGCTTAAGCTGCCACCGCGCCTTGGTTGTATGCCAGAGGCTTCTTGGATGCCCGTTGGGATCTCTTGATATGCCCCAGAAACACCTTGGAGGCAGTTTTTGGGTGTCTCGGGGCTTCTCGTGGGGCTTTGGGGGGCGCCTTGGATTTTCGTTTGGGCCTCTTGGAAACCTCGTGCGGCTTCTTGGGTGCTAATTGGCCGCTTGATGGCGATGTCGGACACTTTCCACCAACCAAACCCGAAGGGGTGGGGAAGCCGAGGATACAGGCTCGAGTTTTTTCACCAACAAATAGAGCAGCATAAACATAAGCTCTTGGAGGCCTGTGTGGATCCCCTGGGTCGGCGCTGGGACCCCCTGGCGGCGCCTCTGGCCCCGCCCCTGGCGCGCCAGAGGGGGGGTTGCCCAGCGCCGATCCAAGACATCTGCGCGGACCTTCGAGAAATCATGTTTATGCAATTTTGTTGTATGAGTTCTTTATTGTGCTCATTTTCAAGCTTCCTGGGCCTGGGAGCTCCTCGTGGCCACGGGGCCGGGTCCTGCATGTCTGGGGCGGGATGCTTGGCTCCCGAGCCGTTCGGGAGTCGAGGTTCGAAGCTCCCGGTTCGAGGACGGGTGGCGCCGAAGGCGCGGCCGCCTGGGGTCGCGGGGCTGGCGTGTGGGCCCGAAGGCTCGTGTGCGGGCGCGGGCCTGGAGAGGCACTGCCCCAAAGTCACATGAGTGCGGCCAGGCTTGAACAAAAAAACGTTCGAGGTTTCAGGTTCTCGGACGTTTTTCGCCTGTTGGGGCCTCCCCCGAGAGCCAGGTGTCGCATGTTTTGTTTCGCACCGGACGTGTTGACCCTGGACCCGTTCACCGGGGGCCCTCACGGACCTAGCGTTCTGGTCGTGCCTTTTTCCAGCCATGCGCAGAGGGGGGTGATGCGGAGGGGGGAAGGCTTCTCAGAAGCATCCTGCTGCTCAGACGGCGCGGGCCTTGTCTATACATGTAAGGCCCGCGCCGTCTAAGAAGCAGCCTAAGCCTCTCTCCCCCCCCCCCGGCACACCCTCGTGCGCGCCGCCAAGTTTCTGCGATGTTGGAATTGCCCTGCGACGTCGGATCCTGTCATGTAGAGTGCATTCGCGTGTGCTAGCGTTTGGTAGTCGATGGGAAAGCGCCGATTCAGCTTGATTGGCCTCGACTTAGCGTCGATGTGCGTCGATTAGCGTAGATTATCTCCGGCTAGCGTCGATTCGCAAGAGCCAGCAAGATGACATGGGACACCCCCGTGAGTGGGAGGAGAAGGAGGGAGGGAGTGGAGGAGGAGGGAGAGATGGAGGGAGCGATGGATGGATGGATGGACGGATGGACGGATGGATGGATTGATGATGGTGATGAGGGTGATGATGATGATGATGCTGATGATGATGCTGATGATGATGATGATGGTGGTGATGATGATGATGATGATGATGATGATGATGATAAAGATGATGATGATGGTTAAGATGATGATGATGATGATGATGATGATGATGGTGATCATGATCATGATCATGATGATGATGATGATGATGATGATGATGATGATGATGTTGGTGCTGATGATGATGATGATGATGATGATGATGATGATGATGCTGATGCTGATGATGATGATGATGATGATGATGATGATGATGATGATGATGATGATGATGATGATGATGATGATGATGATGATGATAATAGAAAGAGCGTGTTCTACCGCTGCTGGCGGAAAACCGGGGGGGGTCACTACCGGTTCGAACCCCTCCCCCCCCCCCTCCGGAAAACCGGGGGGGGTCACTACCGGTTCGAACCCCTCCCCCCCCCCCCCAGCTCATCATGAAAAGGGGGGGGGGTCACTACCGGTTCGAACCCCCCCCCCTCCCCCCCCCCCCTCGAAAACCGAGTGGGGGTGCGGACAGTGGTGGGGACGGTGTTGGTGGGGACAGTGGTGAGGGGACAGCGGGACAGTGGTGGGGACAGTGGGGGGACAGTGGGACAGTGGTGGGGACGGTAGTGGTGGGGACAGTGGTGGGGACAATGGTGGGAACAGGGGGGACAGTGGACAGTGGTGGGAACGGTGGTGGTGGGGACAGTGGTGTGGGGACAGTGGGAATGAGGTGGAAACACTGGGACAGTGGAGGGTACAATGGTGGTGGGGACACTGGTAAAGGCGGTGGCGAGGACGGCGGTGGGACAATGGGACAGAGGTACAGTGGGGACAGTGGTGGGGACAGTGGGGACAGTGGTGGAAACAGTGGGACAGCTCAGTGGGACAGCGGAGGAGTCAGTGGGACAGTGGGGACAGTGGGGATAGGCAGTGGTTGGGTCCGTGGAGACAGTGGGGAGAGTGGAACCGTGGTGGGAACAGTTGTGGGAACAGTGGGGACAGTGCGACAGTGGTGGGGGCATTGGTGGGGACAATAGGGACGGTGGTGGAACCAGCGGGGACAGTGGTGGTGAGGACAGTGGTGCTGGGAACAACAGTGGGGGATGTGATGCGAGCGGTGGTAGGGACCGGGAGTCGTTTGCTGGCGGTGCGTGGGGGGGGGGTCGAACCGGTAGTGACCCCCTCCGGTTTTCGAGGGGGGGGGGGGTTCCAACCGGTAGTGACCCCCCCCGGTTTTCCGGATCCGGAGGGGGGGGGGGGAGGGGTTCGAACCGGTAGTGACCCCCCCCCGGTTTTCGAGGGGGAGGGGGGGGGGTTAGGGGAGGGGGCCGGGGGGGGGGGTTTGGGGGAGGGGGGGGGTTTTTTGGGGAGGGCGGGGGGGGGGGGGGGAGGGGTTCCGGCAGGGGGGGGGGGATTTTCGGAGGGGGGGGGGGGGGAGATCCCGGGTTCCGGAGGAAAAGGTTGGCAATTTTCCACAGTAAAGCGGCGGTGGATCACGCTCTCTCGCTCTCTCTCTCTCTCTTTCTCTCTCTCTCTCTCGATGATGAAGATGATGATGATGATGAATGATGATGATGATGGTGGTGGTGGTGGTGGTGGTGGTGGTGGTGGTGGTGGTGGTGGTGGTGGGTGGAGGAGGAGGAGGAGGAGGAGGAGGAGGAGGAGGAGGGAGGAGGAAACATTATACTAATAATCATATTAAGAAGAAGGAGGAGGGGGAGGAGGAGGGGGAGGAGGAGGGTGGAAGCGTTTCAGCTCAGAATTTTGCGAAGTCCTTACGGACCCGCTGGGACTCCGGGGGGGGGGGCGGTATTCCGACCAGGGCCCTCCCCCCGCCGTCAGGGAAGGGAAGAAGGGAAGGGAATCGACTTAACTACGACGTTCCTTTTCCTTGCTTCTCGATTTTCGTGGGACTGGCGACGACGACGACGAAAACGGAAAAGCGTCTCACACACGCCGAACGGTCAGTTGACTTTTGCTTCCAGCCACGACCATGTACTAAACTTTGGTTTATCGGGGCTGCCCCGTTGCGGCGCCCAGGGCGCTTCACCGTTGCTCGCAGCAGAGGAGCTTCGGAGAAGAAGCAGGGCGACAGCGAGCGCTGCCGCTGCCGACGCTCGCTGGTCAGGCGGCGCCGCAGGAATGTCTTTGACATGGCAGTGCGTGTCGTAGGCGTTCCCAGCGCGCGTGCGCGAAGCGTTGGGGTGCGCCCGGGCAGCGCTTCCATGCTTGCGCGCGCAGCGTCTAGGAACGCACAAGGCAGCCCCTAGCAGACTTGCTCAAGCGCCCAGTCAGCGCGTCCAGGCTCGCGTGCCCAGCGCTTGCGTCTTTCAGAAAGGCAGAACCAAGGTCGCTTGACAGCTTTTCCTGCGCGCCCCGGCGCGCCATTTCAGACGCCCGCGCGCTGCGCGCCGCGCGCGGACCCCAAGTGCGCCCAGGGCGATTTGGGGGGCGCATATTCCGGAGTGGCTTCTTGAAACAGGGTTCAAATCAGAATTTTGACCGTTTGTCTAGCTTCAGAAGCGACGTTTGCTCTCAGTCAAGGTGCCATGCGTCGGCGCGTAAGTGTTTGCGGCGGGTTTCGTGGGCAGTTAGTGCTCGATCACCACCTGGCCAGTCGCGCGTGGGCGGACTGGCGCATGCCTGGGGTCTTCGCCCGCGCTGCGTGCTGGCCCGCCTGGGCAGCGGGCAGCCCATGCGCGCCGCCGCCGCCGCCCGCCGCGCGCCGCTCGCGGCGCCCAATACCTGGCTGGCCAAGTGGTTTGAACGCCCTGTCCAACGCGCGCGTTCCCACGCGAGGGCGCTGCTAAGCACGCGCGGAAGACGGGGCGGGCGGCCCCGCCCCCCGACGCGCCCGCGCAAGCGCGCCCGCGCCCGCGCCTGCCCGACCGCGCGCGCACAGGCCCCGCGCCAACGCCCGCGCCCAAGCCCGAGCGTGCACTCGCGCCCGCGC